GGTTTTTTTCTCTCCCTACAGAAAGAAAGCTCATTGCTGGGTGGTTTGCAGTTGTCCTCCCAAACACGTGCGTAGCTGAACTTTTCATTTTGTCAGAGCAATAAGCCTGTATCACCAGTGGCTAGTTCTCAAAAAGATGCTTACTAGTTTTCAAAAGCAACTTCAAAGTTTATCACCATCCAGAATTTATTTAAGCGCAGTCTTTCCCTCTCTTATCTCTCAATGCAGACTTGCTTCCTTCTCTCTATCTCATCTGTCGGCTTTCTAACTATTACAATTAAGCCTCTATACCAGGCGTTTTCACACCACACTGTGCACACATCCAACATACTAGACTTCCCTGAAAACAGTCATCCATTTCAATTCTAACTTGTTCCAACTGTTGGAACAAGATTTTGACGCCTCTAGCAGAGCTGTTCTGTTTACAGTAAACAGTGTAGAATAAGTACCTCTTTCACGTGGTGCTGTGAACAAACAGCTGAGATTCCCCAGTCCACTATGTGCAATGGATGGCCTGTTGTTCTGTGTTTTTTTTAGTTTTTCAAGAAAATTGACATATCAAAACTTAAGAATTATCACAGGCACGATCACAAAAATACACCAATTTCCTGCAGTGAAGTTTTCTCCTGGAAACGTTACAATGCCTTACTTCTTGGCCAGCGTCTATTAATGCTGGCTTTCAAGAGGGAAGCATCCCTCGCAATGTAAGGTTGATACATTCAGATTTTACAGAGGTAGTTCGACCAGTGAGGTACCTAGACATAGGGTCATAGCCTGCAATACTCAGGAACTCTGTCTGAATTAAATATATACTGTGCTTTGATAACATTGAATTCCACATAAAATAACAGCACCCAGAATGTTGAACCCATAAAGCCATATACACACTACTTCATTACAAAAACACCACATGCTTAATATCAACCTTATCTGAGATCTAGTGATTTTGGGTGTGCAAGCGGTAGATGAACAAAAGACATTAAAGCCAAGACAGACTTAATGGCCCACACAACAAGTCATCTGGTCCAACTCCAGTACATTTCAACCCAGGCGCTGGCAACGGATACATAGACCTTGGACTTTTAAGAATTCGTCTGGCAGGAGTGGAGGGTAGCGTACAGTGACTTTGACAGCCTGACTCAAATGGTTGCCTAGAAACCAATAGTTCATATTAAAGGCACACCAGTGTCACCTCAATCTTAAGCTTGCACTTACCATTGGGCACCATTCTGGCCTGCAGTGTCTCGGTCTGCAACACAAGCTCATTTCATGTAAACAGGGCACAAATCATCCCAGTGCTAGAACTCGCACAAGTCTCCCTGACACCATCATAAAGACTGTCGCACAACATTTGCAATGTACAGCAAATGCAGTGCACTTGTAGAGTATGAACATTGGATAAAACATGGGCCGTGATAGGAGTGCTTGTGTTCAGTGAGATGTGAAAGGGATGTTTCCACTCTATCCTCTGAACAAGTGGGGGCTCGTCAATTAAAGCCACAAGCCTTGGTCCTTCCACCAAAGTGGAGTGTGCAGAGGCAAACCCCTCCCGCCCGCCACAAGGGCTTTTGCGTACTGTAAAGGGAAAGTAATGGGTTGCGTTTTTCTTTCTGTTCCGGGAATGGTTTCTTTGAGGTGCGTGCGAATATACATTCTATCTGCAAATAAATATATATTTGATTTTTTTAAATGAGGCACTGCCTCACCTAGTGAGCATTGTAAGAGCAGTGAGGGAAACAAGACCAGCCATAGAGAGGCCAAGACATTTCGCGCGTGTGAAGAGCCTCGTGCCTTGATAGTAAGATAGCTTGGTTAGACACGCTCAGATCACCACACCTGTCGAAAAGGTCACCAGCTGCCACTGGACTGAACCTCAGGCTCTGGGTTGAATTGTGTTGTGAAAGTAAAACTTGACAGAAAACAAAGTCCCATTTATACAAAACATATGTGTCTCTCGGTGTTGATATGTTGGGTTGTGTGATCATGGGGTTATCACTGTGGAGTCCTGTAGCTCAGTGGTTAGAGCACTCGCTTTGCAAGAGAGAGACCTGAGTTCAATTCCAGGCAGGTCAGGGCGAAACCTTGGGCAAGTTTCCTTACTCCACACAGAGCCTAATAATAATCCCTCCAAACACCCAAAACAATAATTAAATTGGTCATTTTCAATCTACGACAGTTTGTGGGACATTGCTGTGCGCACTTGGTTGCCGCGTTCACCCACAAATATACAGACAATTCACTTTACAGTATATTCTGTGAAGCGCTTTGGGACGTCCTCCCGACGTGAAAAGCGCTATATCAAATGCAAGGATTATTATTATTATTATTACTCGATATCTACACTAACAGAGACTGGCCTTCTCGTGGATATGAAAAATTCGATGAGACGAAGCATTGAGAGTTTAACCAAGTCTAGCTACTCAAGTGGACATTAATAAATCATGAGACTATTCAAATCCTAAGCTTCCCAGGGCCTGGCCAACAAATCCTCCATTTAAATTGATCATTCACTTTCTTGCTGTTTACAAAACTATGCTGTGAGCAAACTGCCAACCGTTTTCACCTACAAGTACACAGTCACTACACTTTACAGTAAGTACTGTGAAGTGCTTTCAGATGTTACAACACGATAAGGCATAGGCAAAGAATATTATTCTTAAACAGTGCGGAAATCAGGTTATCACACAAAAATGCAATGTACAGCAATAATTAAAAATATCCTTCACCAGGAGTTACGCTGTCACAGTAACACCACACCCTTCTCTCTCTCTCTCCCAGGCCTTCCCAAAAGTGCCAGACATTTCTCTTCCCTCACTATACAGTGCTATCTACTCAGTAGGAGTCTCTCTCGCTCACTCACTGAGCACTGTACTGTATGGATGAATGAACAAAGTCTCAATCTCGCTGCCAATTTTAAAGAGTGCTGGGGGGAGGGGAACAATTTGCTGATTACGATGTGTACCATTATATATTTTCTGCATGAAATTTCATCAACTTTGCTTCCTGGATTTTTACTTCCTGGAGCCGTGAAGCAGACACAAAGTCATCAGTTATCTCGATTTGCAGCAATCTACTACATTTCATTGTTGTTTTGGGGGTGATATTGAATTGACGTGCCAAGACACCATATCGAAACACAGATAACCTTTTAATGCTGACTGTGAAAGTTTGCTCTCTCCAGTCCTTTATACGTTAACTGTCTCTACCCTCTCATAAGTGATTAGCAGGTACACATGAAAGTAACTAGTGAAGACATTCAAAAAGATCTTACCAGTGTTAAGCTTGTAAGAGACAGATAGATTCAGAACTACCCACTGAGCACCATGATGATCTGCAGCTTGTCCAGCTTAGTGTAGAGGTCATGCTTTTGTTTTGACTTAACCCACAATATTCACGAGACAAATTATAAATGGACGTAAAAACATTTAACCTGGTTTAAAAAAAATATTAGCGAGAACTTGGCTGCTTCGGATTATTCCCCACTTATTCGTTTCATCATATTTTACCACTTTGAGCCGCTAAAAGTGTATTTTAAAAACCTTCAATACAATAACAATCAGCATTCTTCGCATTTGATATTTCGCCTTTCACGTCAGGAAGTCGTCTCAGAGCGCTTCGCAGGATTTACTGTAATGTGTAGCGACTGTGTATTTCGCACATTACCAAAATTTTGGACCAATTTTCTTGATTTGCTTTGAAAAAGGTGAATGCGAAAGCGGAAAGAGTCGTAGAAAGGAGTAAATCAGCACTGTTCCAAAACCAAGACATTGAAACAAAAACCCACAGCCAGACAGGGTGTAACCCGATCGCCCTGAATTCAGGTGTGGAAGAACCCTGACATGAAATGGTTAACGGTGATTATATAACTCCCAGACCAGACCAGAACATATCCCCTTAACAACGACTGGAGCTCCATCCCAAGAGCCAACATCAGGTGATATTTTGCAATGAACCCATCTACTGAGAGCAACAATAATACTGTACTTTCCTGATATGTTAAAATACTACAGTGTATCCCAAATGTTGATTTCCTCTCAGTCCCAGGTACGATTTGAACAGAGTAGTGGGAGTTACAAGGATTAGCTTTATTCCGAATGGCTAAAAGATCTTGTTACATTCACCTGAACCAAACAAAAAAAAAAGGAGTGTACTGCACTGGAAAAACATACAGTAGTACAGTAATGTGGGGTCAAATTACATCCCACTCTGAATTTTCCTCTCTCCCCCCACCTCCTCTCTTTGTCCATCAGTGCCAAAAAAAAACATTGTATAGTATAGACCTGGAGTAGCCCAGAGATCTGCACTATTGATTGCTATCCAGAAGGGTTAACATTGCATCCAGGTGAAGGATAAATTATCCTGCAATCCAGCAGTGCCTCTACAAATGCTGTGCAAAACTTCTTTAACCTTCCCCCACCTCCAATTTCTCCACTAAATCCTCGCTCTGCTCCGATCTGCTTTAAACACAAGGCGACAGCACCTTGGGAGAAGAGGAATGACATTGCTCCAAGCAAGCATTCCAGTAATAATCACAATAATAACAACAATAATAATAATAATGATGATGATTATTATTATGCACTGTACCTTTTGCATTTTGCACGAAAAAAAGAGAAGAGAGAACTCTGCTTCTATTCCCTTTTCTTCAAACTTGCAGGTAAGGTGAGGAGAGCCTTGGCAGCTGGATTTGAGGGAGATCCAGAAGGTTGGGACCCCAGATCCACCCCCCACTCCCCAAACACTCTGCCCCACTGCGCTCTCCCCTCTGCGTAATACACACTCACTCACTCACACACACACACACACACACACTCACTCACTGCTCTGCTTCTGCTCTGGGGATTAGCAAGAGAAAAGCCCAGCTCTTTAAAACCCTTAATACCACCCCCCACCCGGCTCAAGCCTGGATAGATCTCCATAAATAAAATAAATTAAATCAATCAATCAACAATAATAAAAAAAGAGAGAGAGAGGAGTGAGAGCAGGACATTTAAACTTACCCAAACAGTGGAGGAGCTCCAAACAGTGTCAAGATTTTTTCTCTCTCTCTCTGCTGGTCTGTCTCTCTGTTCACTCTCTGGGTCAGTGCATTTGCCAGGCTCTGATGGTCTTTGATACCATCCTATATAGTTTATTTTCCTCCTCCTCCTCTCTCTCTCTCTCTCTCTTTCTTTCCCTCCCTCCCTCCCTCTCTCTCTCACTTGGATCAGAAAGCCAATCTGCTGCCAGGTGGATATACAGTAGGTGTGTGTGTGTGTGACAGAGAGAAAGAGAGAGAGAAAAGGAAAGGCTCTCTATAACTTGCCTCTGTGGTTGCAATAATGCTCAGCACTACACAACTAAGTCACTTCCTCTTCTCACCCAAATTAGAAGTCCTCTCTCTCTCTCTTGAGTTATGACTATTCAAAAGGAAAGCAAAGGGAGGAACTGGAGTTTGGAAAAAAACCCTCAGAAATATTTGTGATTTTTTTAATATATATAGATATATACAGACAGGTAGATATATGAAACAAAATTAATCAGATATTTTGAAACATTTTTTTTAAAAAAACAAAAAATCCGTGGACTGAAAACGAAAAGGAATCCAGACCGTGCTCTGCTGAACTCCTGCCAAGAAGCTGCGGGGAAGGGCTGTGCACTCACTGACTCACTTGACTCATTGCACACAGTAAGAGTTCTGAGAAAGGGTCGTGGACCCGAAACATTGACTCATTTTCCTTTCTCCATAGGTGCTGCCTGACCTGCTGAGTGTTCCCAGTCACTTCTGCTTTTGTTGTAAGAGTTTGTCGTGAACGTAATGAGCAAGTTAACCTGCGCACACCTTAGAAAGGTGAGGAGCGCAACCTCTAGCCCAGAGGAAGGAGAAGCTGAACCATTGGTCCCAATGAGAAAGTGCTGTCATCGCCTGCCACAGTACTCCCTTAGAACCATCAGGGCATGGCCTGGCTGGCGATAAAAGGGCGCTCTTGCCCCCTCGGGGGTTTCTTGAATGGTCGAGGTCTGGGCCAGTCAGCATGTTGCCCTCGGGCCGGCTGCAGGGGACAGGAGACCGTGGGCCACCTCTTCCTGGAGTGTTGTTTGCCAAAGACGGTTTGGAAAAGATAAAATGGATTCTCTCGCGGTTTGTCCCTGGAGACCCGCTGTCACGGCACTTGGTGCTGTATGGCCTGTTCCCGGGCACTTACAGCAAAATCCACATCGAGTGTGCCTGGCGATCATAAACTCAGTAAAGGAGGCTCTTTGGCACTCCCAAAACCTGGCGCTCTCCTGCAGAACTAGGGGATGGTGAGAGCCTGCCTCAGGCTCGCGCCCACTAAGATCAGTGGCTACATACTGAGGGACAAGCTGAAGTTCTGCTCAACCACGGCAAAGGCCAGATGGGGCCTGATCTCGGCAGGAGCTGCTCCGGCACAAACCGCTCAGGGGGCACCCACCGGGTAGCCCACAAGCTCACCCAAAACTGACTGAAGTAATGGTGCAGAACGACGCTCGAGATGTAACCAAAGAGCGTCCCGAAAATGGATGTACGGTAAACATGTGCACTTGCGGTGCACATCGGGCGCCTTCCGAAAGAGGCAAGTGCACCTTATCAGCGTATGTGTGTGGGCGTGAACATGGATGTGGTGTACACAGGGACAACTCCCAACTGTGTTAAAGGGAGTGTCCAAAAAACATGTGCACAACCTATGTGTGCAGTGAAGGAATGAACCGTAAACAACAGAATGTTCTTTTTGTCGGGAGGAAAGGAAAAAATTGTAACAGAAGATGTTGTGTTTGTTTTGGATTTCTGTTGTACTAAATATTATATTTATACATAAATATATATTTTCAAAAAAAAAGTAATCCCTTAGAACCTTGGGGCAAGGCTACTCCATATCCACCTGATCTCTGAACCTACTGTGATTTTGTTGAGTTTCATTCCCAGCTGTGTAACAAATTGTTTTTGTTTATACAGTGGGTGAAGTGGGGTACTGTATACAATAGGAAACGCAACCTCACCCACTTGCAACCAACTGGCAAAACCATCACGACAGTCCCATTTTATACACAGTATTGCTTCTCAACAACGACCATGAATTGCATTTATGTAACGCCTTTCACATTGGGAGGACGTCCCAAGGCGCTGGACAGTGAAGGTTTGCACCCGAGCTGGGGTTTGGAATTATCAAAAGGGGTGGAGGGCAGAATGTGTGATTAGGTGGGGGTGGGAAGATGACCAAAGGCACGATCGAGGAGGAAGGTCTTCTTTTGAGACGGGCCTTGAAAGAAGCAAGGGAGTAAAAAAATGTCCTAAGGAACTTAGAAAATGTTTCCGACACAGAATAGCTCAACTGCTCTCACATGGGATGTTGGTGTTCACATTTCAACTGACTGCAAAATGATACAATGCTCACAACACACATATTCTTCTACAATTAATTTATTTTATTATCGAACAATTTTCAGTTCTCGCACCCACCTGCAAAATTACAACACGGGGGAATAACCCATTTTCAATAATGCAAATGGACTGTCTATTTATGCATTATTTTGCATAACAAGGTGTAATTCAAATTACATTTGATGCGCCAAGTTGCATAAATGTAATCACTATTTCCTGTGATGGAGCCACTTGTGTCAAAGTGAAAGGCATCACATGACTGTGTAAAAAAAAATCTCCATAACTAGAAATTTTACCTAAGTATCCTTGAGTTTACAATGCATTAAGTCCTTGAAGGTTTAGTGTGTGTTTACCCTCCCTCTATTTATGGTAACCAGGTTATATTAAAAAAATGATTTAAATTTTAAAAAATGATTTTCAGGCAAAATGATTTTCAGTATTCAGTTATACCTAAATATGGCTCATTTCACACAACATAGATCTATGGCGAGAAATGACTGAGGTGGTTCAAGGCCACTTGTTAATGGAACAACTCCTGGGAAGGTTGGGAATTGTACTGATCTAACAGATATCAACATGTAAAATGAAAGCTAGGCTTAGCATTACTGAGGAACCTTATGTGTTAGTGTTCTAATGTATCAGGAAAGCAACAGGTATTCCCAAGCTCCTCCGGCCATTCCCATTGCTCCAAACTCAATCATGCTGGTGTACACTTCGATCAGAGCTGAAATACTATGGAAAAATCACAGCTGATCCCATTTCCAGCTGAAATACAGATTTTTAGGAATGATCCAGGGGATTGGTAATCCCAAAAGAGGTTAATTCTGTTGATTATCCTGGGAACCGCTGCAGTAATTTTCAGAACACTAGAAATAAATAAAGTAAAATGGTACACAAGTATCTCACGTTAATTGTGACAGTCTCTGACTTCAGCACTGGATATTTAAGGCACCTCATCATGTTAACGTATCTCCAATTGCTTCACAAGTAATCACGTGAGGTATCATCAATTTTTCTACGGCCAAACACAGCAGTTATTTAGCCAGGTCACACACACTGCCGTGAGATGGAGGAAAAATTTACTTTGGCCAGGTTACTACAAGATGCTCCTTTTTTTCAAACAGTGTCACGGGATCTGTAATGTAGGTAGCACCTTGGTTTAACATCACCCGAAAGATAGCAATAATTCTTGCATTTCATATAGTGCCTTATCACATCATCAAGACACCTCAAAGCACTTCACAAGATTTATTGTAAAGCATAGTGACCTTGTGGTAGGCAAACACGGCAGCCATTTGATAATAATAATATTCCCAGCTTTTGATATAATAACAATAATTATCCTTGCATTTTGTATAGTGCCTTATCACGTCACTGAGATGTCTCAAAGTGCTAGACAGGATATACTGTAAAGTGGTTTGTCTGTGTATTTTGTGGGTGAAATACACAGCTAATTTGCGCACAGCAATGTCCCACAAACAGCCATGAAGTGAGTGACCAATTTTATTTGGGAGATTGTTGGCCCGGACACAAGGTGAATCACATAGCTTAGACGATATGTTTCAGGATGGGGGCTTGAACCCACAACGTTCTGACTCAGAGGCGAGAGTACTATCACTAAGCCAGGCTGACACATGTAACACAGATGTAATGCCTTATCACATCTTCGAAACATCTCAAATTGCTTCACAGGATATACTGTAATGTGGTGTGACTGATCCTATTTTGTTGGCGAACATAGCAGCCAATTTGCACACATCAGTGTTTCACAAAAGTCATGGAATAAGTGACCAATTTTATTTGGGGAATTGTTGACCCTGACACTGGGAGAAACTCCTTTCTCTTTTCGAATAGTGCTATGAGATCTTTAACGTCTACCTGGGCAGGACCTCAGTTTAACTTGACATCTGAGGAGCGGTACCTCCAGCTCTGCAGCAGACCCCCAGCATCACACTGGAGAATCAGCAGAGACTATGTGCGTTCCAAGTCCTGACATGGGGCTTGAACCCTATATGGGTTTGAAGTCCTGATGCAAGGTTTGAACCCACAATCTTCGACGCAGAGACAAGAGTACTACAAACTGAGCCAGGCTGACATACAAAGTGCAAAGTAATGTGCCACAAACAACCATTAAATTAATTACCTTGCATCTAGACATAGGGCTTGAAACCCACAATCTTATGAGCCAGAAGTGAGAAGGTAGAGAGAGATAATAATCCTTGCATTTGATATATCACCTTATCACATCTTTAAAAAGCTTCACAGAATGTACTGTAAAGTGAATTGACTATATCTTTTGGGCAAAATTCGGCAGCCAATTGCGCACAGCAGTGTCCCACAAACAGTCATGGATTGAGTGACCAAATTATTATTATTATTTTATTTTTGAAGGGATTATTGCGCCTGGAAAAGCAATCCGCTGACGGACTAACAACCAGGTTCCTACTTACAGCTGGGTAAACAGAGGCAGGTGGAGTAAGGAAACTTGCCCAACATTTCGCCCTGCCTGGGAATTGAATCTAGGTTTTCTTGCTTGCGAAGCGAGTGCTCTAACCACTGAGTTACAGGACTCCAGATAAGGGGTTTAATCTCTTGAGAATTGGGGGAAAAGGAATTAATAGCAATTCTTTCCACCTGCTCTTGAGCGTGTATTCATCCTAGAATATCTCACTGAAAACGAGAGAAAATTTCACTCAATGAGAACCAGACTTTATGTTTTCTATATACAGTACTAGCTGTACCCATTGCAGCTACACTTGCAATCAAAGTATCCAATATAGAATGTAGGTTGACACACAGACAGACATTTCATCTTTATCTATACTCATCTGGGAGGACTTCTGTGGGAGAACTTTGTTCTTCAGTTTCATTT